ATGTATATTATTTTATTGTTATTTCTGTGTACACTGTAAGTACACGTTCAACTGCGAGGATGGTTTCCGACACCAATTTATATACAGTTAGTACTTTTGGGAAGTCAAAATTAGAAATTTACAGTACTTTTCAAAAATAATAAAAATTGATGTTATTATTTTCTTTAGTTAAAAGTTGATAATCGTAGATAAATATCAGTTTATAATTTTTTTATACTAGCTTCTTCTATACATAGTAAAATTTTAAAAATATGTAACTTTTTTTGAGCTATTTATAGACACTGGGAATGTTTTTTTCTACAAATTTCATTGAATAATTTTTCAATCAATAAAAATAGCTTAAAAATTTCAAAGTAGGTACATTTTACATGTTATTTAAATTATTTGAAAATATTTAAAATACATTATGAGTTATGAGTTATAATACAATTTTTTTTTTTAACTGTATAAAGTTTAAATTTTGAGAAAATAGTTAAGCTTTAAACAAAAAACAATAAATTCAATTATTTGGTTGCAATTTAAAAATATTATTTATAGAGACTTGAAATTTGAAACTTTTAGATGTATGGTTATATTTTATACTCAATAGTTTTTCAAATTCAGTGTTAAAAATTATTTAAATTTTTTATTTATTTGAAATATGCAACTCTGTATTTATATATTCATTATAATATTTGGAGAAGTATTTAGTAGTATCATTGATTATATATAGTATAATCTACGAATAACTGATGATAATATGCAATAATTTTCATATTTCAAAAACTATATATAAAAATAAAATTAATATGTGTAATTAATATTATTAATTATCTATTATTCGGTTGCAGAATTAAATTAACTTATAAATTATTCTTTGCAATCAAAGGAATAAAACCAGCATAGAAAATAACTTACCAATATACCTAATCATATGTTATCACAGTTCACAATATTACATATTCTGAAGTAAATAATTCCTATAAATGCAATATTAATCATTCTTATCTCAGCTACAACCAGTTCTATTAAATTAGTACTGTGAATAATAAAGTTGACACTTTCACAGATTCATTTTTTTCTTCACTTATTTAAAGAGAATTCAATTTTGTTTAAAAACATTAATATTAAATGTGTATAATCAGGTATATTTCAAAATCATTCTCAAATTATAAATTTTTAAAAATCACGTAAACAGCCTAATGGTTTTGTCTGCCCCACAACTAAACACCCATGGTTCGGTAGGATGGAATGTTACACCAAAAATACCAAAATCTGAGCAATCTTCGTGTTCCTTGAGTAATTTTAATGGAACAACTAATGGATTTTGAAGTAAATCACTAAAAATACAAACAAATAAGTTTAAAACATTATTAATAAATAAAATTAAAAATCATAAATACTTACTTGTAGACCATTCCGTGAGAAACAATTAAAGCCCGATCATCAGATCCAGATGCAAACAAAGGATAACGTTTGTGGAAAGCAACAGAACGTACAGCTGTTGAATGTAATCTTAGAGTTTTATATGGTTTGGTAGAAAGATCAAGATCAAACCATAACATTTTTCTATCATACGTTCCAACAATAAGATTGTCGCCACCTAAATATCAATAATATTACTATGATGATAATAGAACAAAATATAACATGTATGACTTGTATACAAAGTAAAAATTTCATATTAACTTTAACTTTTTAATTTAAAAATCAATGAATTAGGTGTTTAATAAATTTAAGGTAAGTTGCAATTTAAAATATTACAAAATCAATATTAATAAATTTTAATTATTATTTAATCCTTTGATTACTGCTATTGCGTCGTAAAACAATTGTTTCTAATTAGCATTAAGCCACGGGCCCTTAAATTAAACTTAAATTGAATTAAAAACCTTTTATTTATAAATTCTAATAGAAATTCTTCTCTCAACAATTATACAGAAATAACAAATAAAATATGAGTAACCATCATCTGTTTTTTTGTATCTAGTACAGCTTTAACAACCACTTTTTAGTGGTAGTTTTAAAATTTAAAATATTCTTAATAATTCAAGCAATAATTATTAAATTAATTAAAGTTTAAAATATTTATACCTGGGTGGATTGCCATTGATGAAATCCATTTAGCGTAACTCATTAATTTTTTAAATAACTCTTGTTTAACCAAATCATAAATTCTTATATTTTTTTGAGTCTGAAAAATAAAATAGCAGAATTATTAATTTTATTATAGTAAAGAATAATGGTTAAAATTATGATATTAAATTATTATTTACTGCAACAAATAAGAATGGCCTAATTGGGTGGAAAAGAACAGATTGCACCAATCCTTTAGATTTAGCAAATGGTAATTGTGAACGTCTAGTAGACATTTGATGAATAAGAACTGATCGGTTAGCACCATCAGGCATTACTGTAGCAGCATAATCTCCTCGGCCATGCCATGTCACCTGAAAAATACAATTTATCATAATACTATAATATCATAATGGAAATGTTAAAAATGTATATATTATGTCTATTTAAAAAGTATTTTTTAATCTTATACTCTAATTAATTAATATTTTGTACTTCACCCATTAATTATAAGAAATGAATATTAATCAATGTATTTTTAAATTACCTGTTTTATTTCTTTAAAATGATTCAACACAAGACGAATGCCATTTTCCCATTCTTCAGGTGTTGCATCATCCCATTGAACAACTGCTTTGACCTTATCAGAGACTAAAAATAAATTGTATGGTTGTTATCCATAACAGATGGAAAATAAAAATAATTATTTCAAACAAAACATACCAATAGTTGCTTGAACAGGTGGTGTAGATAGAATAGAATCTGTTTTAGAAACTATTAGATGATCACCAACACCAGGATTTATGATTAATAATTTGCGATCAGCTACAACTGCAACCAATGATAATGCTTTGTTTGGATTCCATTCAACACTACGTACTATACCTCCAACTGGTATAGTCCTCAAACAACGACCCGTACTAATTTCCCATACTAAAAATAATATTATCATTTTTAACATACACAAAAGTATTTTATTTTTTTTAAATAAATTTAAAACACTTTGATTATATTATATTACGCATAATAAATTGAAATAAAATGTAAAAATATAGTATACATTACTTTTAATGGTCATATCATCAGATCCAGACAACAAGTATTGACCAAGTGGATCAATAGATATACAGCGGACCATATCAGTATGGCCATTATACACCAATGATTGTACTGTAGGAAATGGTTGTAAGTCTTTAGGACTTGGTAATTTAGGTAATAGATCTTCTGGCTCAATAGTTAACTACAAATAAATTAATACAATTATTTTATAATTTAATCAATTTTTCATTTAATAATAAAATATACAAATGTTTACTACTCACTCTCATTTTCCTAGCTCTAGGACACAAATACAAATCCATACATCTTGTAAATCTTTCCTTGATAAATTTGGGATATGCTGGGACTTGTCTAAGACTAGAATACTTTTGTGGTACATAATGTAATTTGCGTTTCCAAGGAGTTTCTTCTTGTTTTTTCCATATTCTCATCTAAGAAAAAAAAAAAAAAAATTAACATTGTTTTTAAAATGCATTTAGATACAGTAACAATAATTTACTTCTCGTTCGTTAAATAAGAATTCAGGGGGAGGATTATAAGACTCTGCATGCGATGGTAAATTCCTTTTTGGTGCAGGTATATGATCAGTAATGCGCCTCATATTTTTATCTTCAGCGTCATCTGTACTCCACATCATATAAAAACTACGTTCCCGTTTCTTTTCACGTTCTCTTCGCTTTTGTTCTCTAGTTTTAAGGAGACCAGCTCTTATTAATCTAGCATATCGTTCAACTCGTTGAGCTTCCTGTCGACTAGCAATGAATGATCGTTTGTGATCAGCTCCATTACGAATAGGCATGTTCATCACTTCTGATGTAAACCATTCAATCCACGGCTACAAATAGATATATGATAGTTTTAAAATACACATAAAAACATTAAATGCAACAAAAAAACACTACCGCATATTGCTCATAGGTTGAATCTGGTATTTTACTAGATTCTATCCGTTGAATCAATTCTACATCTTTATCACTTAAGACAACATCTTGCCCAGTTTGTAAATCTCTAACAGTACGCCTATAAGAACCAAATTATAATGCACATTTGAAATAATTACAGGCTAATAAATTTTACCAGAAATCAGGGTTCTCCATTTTCTCCATAAAGTTATCCAACTGATCTCCGCGTTCAGGCTTAATGATTTTATTACCGTCCCAATCATAACCAACGTGTGGATATTCATCATACCAATTCATTGGTATGTTTCCCACAGTGTTTCTGATGTCCTTAAAACAATAAACATATCATCAAACATTTATTCAATATCTTAACATTGAATAAATAGGTAATAAAAACCTACCTCTTCGTCAGAAGTGTCAATTTCTGCTTCGTATTCTACATAGTCGTTTGTTTTTTCAGCAGACGGTAGACCGTTCACGTCTTCGGCAGGCTGGGAGTCCTCCATTGTTCTTTTTTACAGTTCCGTATTAATATTTTTAAGCTAGGTATAACTAATTATAATGATTATCTACACGTTTTAACTATAAGAGTACCGGCAACGTATTCAGTATTGTATCAATTACAGATACTTAGTTAGTAAATAGTAGTTAATAAATAAATAAGCCGCGTGCGCCGTGTGCCCGATGCCCGTTTCTGTGTTAAGGAGCCCCTGTCACATGGATTTTTATCGTTTCTAACATCTTATACTATGAGACATGAGTGCAGTACATTAATTTATTCTGTGATAGTAACTTATCAGTGATTTAAAGTAATGCCAACTTTAACTTTAAATAACAAAATGTTTGTATTAACATTCCATATTAACAATAATTACAGATGAGAACAATTTTCTTTATTATTTAATAGCTATTAATGTGTTTAAATTTTATTTAAAAAACTACTTTTAACATTTATCTTCTAAGACCGTGGATTTCATTATTACTACAACTAAAAATTAAACGTTTTATCTTCATGGTGCGCTAGTAGCACTATATAGGAACAGCTATATCAGATAGTTCATCAGTCATATTATGGAAATTGGATATGCAATCAGTATTTTTCATAATCATTTCACGAAATAACAAATTCAGTGGTATTATCAAAATTTGTTATCACTTTATTTTTTTACATTCTCAAAAAACATATTGCTTCGTTCATTAACTTCATCAACACTTGTCCTTCATAGTCCGTATCCTATAGGTAACATTTTATTATTTTATTATAATTCATAAATCATATATCATGCTATAAAGTATATATATATTATATTGCTTTTGTTTTTATCTGTTATTTAACTGTAAAAGTATTTTTATCTTAAACGTACCATCTATGTTTTACTTATAACTATTCAAATTTTTTTTATATGTTTTTCTACTAGTATTTTGAAATAATTTAGAATCATGGCGACTGCTGAACATGTAAAACAAGATATGCCCCCCAAAGGTGGCTACCGGAAAATTAATTTTGCTCGAGTGTTTCCTAAACCATTTGCCAGCAGTAAGTAATAATTATTACCATTGTAAACTTTAGCGACTATTAAATCACTGATAATCAGTTATTACCTATCTAATCAATGTTAAAAATTCCAACTTTTTGTTAATTATTAGTAGATATTAAATTGTTCCTTACCAAGAATAATATAATCATCACTTCTAAACATACTACTGAACTTTCTGTTAAAGGTCAATAATTTTAGCATTATATTATTCATTTATACATTTACTTATATGCCTAAATGCTACAAGACCACCAATAAAAACATTTAATTTTTAATAGTCATACTTTTTAATTTATTTAACTGATACAAATATATAATAGCTATAATATACTTTTGTATTAACAAGTATTTGATATTTTATTGAAGCCTATAATATATATTCTATTACAATTTTCCATTTATTTATTTATATTGTATGATTTGTACAACATTAATAATAATTATTAGGATAAATGATAAATATTTAATATAGTGTTGTATTACAATGCAGCATAAACATAAAATATAACATATAAATAAATTTTGATAAAATGATATGTTGACGAATATAGGTGTGATATGAACAGAAATTACTACTATGCACTAGTTCTGTATGTTTTTTCCAAATGTTTATGCCCAATGAGTTAAATCATTGAACTGAATGACTGTATATTATAGCTTTTTAAAAACTGATTTGGAAATTTTTCAACGTGTATAGCAGTTCGTTTTTCATTTCTTAATCACATCCTGATAAAGATTTCAAACTCCATTTATGATACATTATATATTTTGTTCATCAATAGCCTGTACAGAGTATTAATTACAACTTAATTCTTTTGGAGAAAATAGAATACAAGACTTGCTCTATTGAATTTTCAATTAAGTTTAAATTATCAGGGTTACTAAATGTCTATTTATCATTCTATTTTGTAATTACTTAAAATTTTTCCTAAGTTTATTTTCCTAGCAAGGCTGTAAGTAGGCTTTTGAGATTTTACAATTTGGTTAGAACCACTATTGATGTCATTATATATTCAATATATAAGAATTCAAATCACATTTGGTGTTATGTTACTACTTAATTTGTGTGAGAACATTGCAATTAGAGCTTGTTTTAATATTCGATTCCCTTTTCTGAGTTGACAGTTTTTGAATTTTACTGTTTCTTGTTTTTAATTTTGTACCAGTCTATATTAGATGTTCTATTTAAGCAAGAGTTCTATTCAGAATTATTACAAGGTATTTGGAATTTCAAGAATTTTCTATCACCTAAAACAGCTAAATACCTAAATACATACTTAATCAGTTACTATTTTTTTTTCATTTGTTCATTTTTTGTGTGTCAGATTTAGTAGAAAATAAATAGTTAAATATAGTAATAAAGTGTAGAATGTTTTAAGTTACTTGTAGTATATTTAATGCAAATTTAAAATACATTTTTTTATTTTAGGTAGAGCATTGGTTGGTACATATACAGTTTGCACTGGAATTGGCTGGTATTTATATCTTTTAAATGATCGACAAGTTGATAAGTATCAAGTTGAATCACGCAGTTCAATTATTGCTCTAACACCTCTTTTAGATGCTGAAGCAGACAGAGAGTAAGTACTTACTAACTTAATTTATTTTTATTCTGATACTGCTAATATTTTATATTAATACAATAATGTATGTTTATATTATTACAGATATCTAAAACAATTAAGAAGAAATCGTGATGCTGAAGAAAAATTAATGAAAAATGTCAAAGGATGGAAAACGGGTACTTTATATGGTGAGCCTATTTACAAAACAGTTGATAAAAAGGAACTCATTGAACCTAGCATGAATGAGTACTATGTACATGCTCCTGATAAAGTTTTGTATGACCGAGCTTACTGGCATAAATATTTATAAACAAGTAAGTATTATTTTGTTGGGAAACGGATATCTCGTCCTCATCAAAAAATTGAGTTTATGGAAGTTTTGTCTCAGATCAATATTATGATAGACCATTTAGTACCTGAGAATTCTTTGATTAAATGACATTTGCTTTTATCCAGGTTTTTAATTTTAATTGATGTTAATTTCTTTAGATTCAATCAATTTCATTATTTTATTAACAATTAATATATTTATTTTTAATAAGCAATTTAATGTTAAATAAAAAAAAATGCAAATACATAATTAAAATATTTTTTAATGTATACTAAATAATTAGATAAGTCACAATTATATCATGTTAAAGTTTTGAAAAAATGTATTATTTTTATTTATTTATAAAAAATAATAATACATTTCCAATTTAATAAAAAAAATATAAATTTATTTTAAAATCAATTATTAATTCATATGTTTTAAATAATGTAAAATGTCTATACGATATCATTTTTATTTATTTACTTCAAATAAGCATTTTGTCATTTATTGAAATTGTTCCATTACATAAATTTTTGTGAATCTATACTTACCAAATTCCTAATTGTACTTTTTTTTTATTTTGTAAAATAAAAAATTGTAAATAAATAATTTTTAATATTTTTTTGTAATTAAATAATCTATATTTTTACTTAAGTTTGCGTTATAAATACATAACACATACAAAATATTATGTCTATAGTGTGTAGAAAAAGCAAATATAAAATATTTTATTGAATTGGTAATTTTTAATTTATCATATTGTAGGTATCTATGTGAAAACCCTATCATTAAATGTTTTAATATGTATACATTTAAAATTTTTATTCAACTCTCATACCTGTCTGGCTGTTAAGCTAGTACATATCAAATCTAAATTAATTACCTACATATATTGATTTCTAAAACATGTTTTGTTCTTAGTTATGTATTTGTATTATTTTCATTTAAACGTTAAATTGCCCATTAAAAATAATTTTAGTAACTACTAACAAGTAATTCTTAATAAAATGATAAGCCAAAAGAAATTAATATAAATAAAATCAAACATTTCATGATAAAAATACTTTTGGGACTAAAAGTCCCATGTTTAAGAACTCCTAAGGACCAAATTACTTATCTTAATAAGATTGATTGGAGACAAAACTCCTGTAAACTCAATTTTTAAATAAAAATGATATATCCTAGAATCTATTTTATTATCTTTAAAATTGTATTTATTTCAAATTTAAAACCTAACTCTTGTATCTTATAGTAAAATCTTACTGATTATATTTTGAATTAATAATATCGATCTTTAAAAATAAAAGTTGAAATTCACCATATTGTCTGTTTATTAATATAATTTTAGTATACTATAGTTTAATCTTTAAAATTCAAAGTTTTAAAAGGGTATTGTGTATCTATTTTAAAGATACTAAATATCTAAACATTTAGGTGAACAGAAATATGAGTATACTACACAGTATGAAAAATGTATCTATTTTATTTAATAAGCAATTTTTTTAATTAATATTTTATAGAATTCCAGATTATATTTAGTCTATTTAGATTTTTAAATAGCAATAATAATAATTTTGTTATGTTAAGTATCTTGAATGATAAATAATATAACTTAGTATTTACTCTAAATAGCTAAATTTGAATTACTTATAATTAATTTTAGTATAGATAACCTGAACATTTTAAATCATTATTTAAACATTCCCTACAAATAAATATTTAATTTAAAACTTAAAATAATAAATATCTTGAATTTATTTGATTGAGATTCAGTCATTCGCTATTTTTATTTTCATTTTTAAAATTATATAGACGTGTAATAGTTCATAATTTAATAAAATTGATTATCATTTATCAGACATAAATATAACTTTTTAAATCATTTATTTACAAAAATAATTTTTATGTTATTATTTTACAGGTATTTATGCAATTTCTACAAGAATAGAAGTTATTACAATACTATCATATTACATGTGTTTAGATTCAATAAAAAAAAAACTTGTACTTTTTTTTTTTGATAGTAATATTATAAAAAATAGAAATAATAATTTAAATATGTTTATTGAATATTTTGTATTTTCAGTTTCATTATTTAAAAGATCTAATAGGTAGCTAATTATTGAGGTTGCAATAAAAAAATGAGTGTATTGTTAAAATGACCATTTGTACCATGTCAAAGTACATATGAATTATATTTTTAGCAAAGTTTATTAAGTAAAATGTCTAAATATAGATAAATGTAAAAGTTTGGTTGAAAAGTAAAAGTATTTATGAATTCAATCATAAAAATTAACAAAATTAATTTTAGTATTTAAAAAAAAAGAAGGTATACTGACATTCTGTAATTGTTAATTTCTTTTTAATATTTAAAGTGGATTTTTTAGACAAATCTTTTTAGGGTTTTCATTATGATTATTATCTTTTTACATAAAGTTTTTACTATTAAAAAGTATTTTGAATGAAGATATTATTGTCATTATCTTATTTAATAACTAGATAAGTCTTTCTAAACATATAATTTAAAACTATCGCAACTGGAAACATGAAAAAAAAAAAAATTGTGTAGCAATAATTTATATTGATTATTATTGTTAATGATATGCATTTTGGATAATATTGGTGTTAGTTTGGATTTGATCAGACAATGTTGGTAAATTAACTTCATGTTTGTATGGCTTAAAGAAAATATTGTACTCTAAACTACTAAAATATTTAAGTTAGTTTATTTGAGAAAAGAAATGAAAAAAATAATGGTAAATAAATATAATTAGTAATGGTAATTGTCCATTTAAAAAATTCTGTATGAAAAACAATTATAAAATACAATTATAATATTAAGTAATAAAATAGGTAAATAATAATATAAAATATGGTACCTATTCTTATCATGTGCGGTTTACGTTTACCACGTTTCATCGTATCCAGGGTCGTGTCTGAGGGGTGTCCAAGTGGTTTACCTCCCCTCCACCATCATAAAAAAATTCATAAGTAGTTTAAAAATGTGTAAAATAATTATTTTTTTTTGATATCAACATAAATGGCTAAAATTAAAATTTA